TTCCTGTGGTGTAGCCGCAACAACCTGGAGCTGAACACGCTCAAAACAGTGGAGATGACAGTGGACTACAGGAAGAGCTCTCCCACCTTACCCCAACTCACCATACTTGGCAGCACTGTATCAGCAGTAAAGTCCTACAAGTTCCTGGGCTCCACTATCTCCCGGGACCTGAAGTGGACGTGCAACATCTGGACCATCACCAAGAAGGCACACCAGAGGATGTACTTCCTGTGCCAGCTCAGGAAGTTTGACCTGCCCCAGGAGCTGCTGATACAGTTCTACAGAGGAAACATTGAGTCTGTTCTCTGCACCTCCATCACTGTCTGGTTTGGCTCAGCAACCAAACAGGACAAGTACAGGCTTCAGCAGACAGTCAGGACTGTAGAAAAGGTCATTGGTGTGAGCCTGCCCTCCATGGAGGACCTGTACACCTCATGGGTCAAAAGGAGGGTGGAGAGGATCACTGCAGACCCCTCGCACCCGGGATACAATCTATTTGAACTCCTCCCCTCTGTACGGTGTTACAGGCCACTGTGCACTAAGACAACCAGGCACAGAGACAGTTTCTTCCCCCAGGCTGTCACTCTGATGAACACTTAACCAATAAACCTCAGTGCAATAAACCTGTGTATATATACATTGTACAGATTATACAGACTCGTACAGGTCTCTAGTACTCTGTTTTAATTACTCTATTTTTATCCCTACTTATCTCATTACAAAGAACATTCCTTTGTTGTCTGCATTGTTACTGTCTGTACATACTGCTTATTCTGCATTGTTTGCACTTTCTGTTCCTTGTAAATACTGCTTATCTTTGTTATATTACACAGCCTTATGCTGGTTTACTGTTTGCACATTGAGAGCCGATGTACCAGAGTCAAATTCCTCGTGTGTCCAACACACCTGGCCAATAAAGCAGATTCTGATTCTGAGATTCTGATTCTGATCAGACTTTCAGTAAACTTTTTGTTGATTTTAAACAGTCCTCTCCTGTCCTCACTTCTCGTGCCTCCAACAAAAGAATTGGGTTAATTTCTAACAGGTTCACATGAGATACTTTCAAGGCCCGTGGATGTTACAGTTGCTTCTTCCAGCAAACAAAAATACCTTAGGCATTCAGTGATTCAGCAAAAACAAAGTTCACTTGTCCAGTGTGTGAAAGGTTACCGCAGTTATTTACCACAATTGTTAGCAGACTATACTTTAATATGTAAATCAACAATATAAATGGATATACTTAAAAATGCCATTACAGTCCTTGAGCAAGACACTGAGCCCCCAGTTGCTCCCAGTGATGTCATCGGTGTGTGAGTGCTTGGGAGTGCGAATAGGTGAAAGGCCGAATGATGTGAAAGCACTTTGAGTGTGTGGTAAAAGCGTAGAAAGGCACTATACAAGTATACTACCATTTCCTGGTAATAACTCAGCTGTTTAGGAGTGTGATGGCAGAAAGAGTAAAAAACACACAAAAAACAAAGAAAAAGTCGGCATTTGAGAGTGGAACATACAAACACATCTGCCTCAGTGGGCGCCATCTTGCTATTATATTTAACGCATACTTTCTGCCATAACAGAACATGTCCAGCTAAGATGCACAGTGCAACTATATCCTAAATGATCATCAGGATCCCGATCAGTATTTAGAACACATCTTATGCTCTGCTGGATCTCATTCTTCACAACAGACTCATTTGTATAAGCAGATGTGTTGCCTTGGAGGAGGTACATGTGATCTTTCAGAGCTCGTGTTTCCTCTAATTTACTGGCACATTCGAGATGGTGATTACACTCTGGGCTGCAGGTGGTAGTACCGGGCCTTTCCTCCGGTTTCTCTGGTAAAAAACAAAATAAGATGAGATTTAAAAAAACAACAACAACAAAAAAAAAAAAAACAGAACAGTGATTTTAAGCCATTGTGACCCACACTCCACCTCAGAAGGTGGCGGTAATGCACCAATAGTTGTTTGCCAACCGCCAAAAGGAAGGTATAGAAGAAGAAGACGTCGACGAAAGAAGAAGAGTTGCGGGCTGTTTCTCAGGTTATATAGCTCATTTTCTGTTTCGGTAAGTCTATTAGCAGCTGCTCGGTTCGGCTCGGATTATGTGTGACAACACAGGATGTAAGATCGGTAACACGTAGCTCCTGAGTTGCTAACAGATACGATGCTATGGTTAGCCTTTGTTCCGCTGGCTAGCACTTGGCAATTAGTCTGAAGGTAAATACGCTTCCATTATCGGACACGCCCTGCTCTAACGGTCTTCTGTCCGCTGTGTGACCTCCATGAACAATCTCAACCCCTGTTATCAGTGTGTGTACACCCACATCACCAATATCATTCTCTCTGAACACACACAGAAACTCAAACATACGGCCCAGGGGTTGCTGTCCTGGTCCGGGTCTAGTCCGATACCTGAGGGGCTGCGGACATGAGTTGGCGCCAATCTTCATTCTGAAAACGGTCATTTAGAGCTTTGTTCTCTCTCTGTTAGATCTGCAACACATCTGAACACAGTGTTGTGACATTGTGGGGGTGGGGTTCAGTCAATTCGGTATCAAGTTTAACTCGGAACCAGGCAGTGTAATAGTAAAACCTGCTTATTAAACGGAGCGGCCTTGCTCACTTGAATCCACCGCGGTGTTTGGTACCAGGACACTGTGGGAATATGAATGTTTGACCCAGTAAGAACTGTTCATGGGTTTGGTTCATGCCGAATTGAAAAATACAAACACACATATGAAATTACGTTTTCATTGCGTTTCTGGCTGTTGTGCCTAAAAGTGTATCTTTAAACTGCCAAGTATCGGTTGGGAGTTTGGAGCAGGCCTGTCATTACCAACTCTCTGTGAATATAATGTTGTCTTATTGTGATCTGGTGCAGTTTTATTAAAGCTACAGTATTTAACTAGTACTAGAAACTCCAAGTCAGCCCGCTCTGCTCCACCCAGCTCTTCAGATATTTGTCTTTATGAAATTACAATAAATGGGAATGAAACAAAACGTACTGACTAAGCAGAAGTAATCAAAAATCTCTGATTGGTTAGAGGTCAGTCTGACTCAAAGCCTTTTAAAAGCTGATATCTCTGCACTGCTGCCAGTTCAGTGAGTCTGGGTCCCAGGAGGCTTTGACAGCACCTCTCCATGTTAACAAGATTTTTACAACAACAATATTTGGGAAAAAAGATACAAAATTTAGCTTTAACTGCAGTTTGCCAACTGATCAGTAGTGTTTGTAGAACTTGTACAGATGTTCTGCAGAGGTTTGGTGTCCAGGTGTTTTTAAACTTTATATATATCAGGTGTGTTTTACCTGGGGTTACACCTGACGCTGCCCCAGTGCCGTGTCTGAGAACGTTAGTTTTAAATCCTACCCAGTGCTCTAATCAGAATCAGCTCTCCTGAAATCACGCCTGCCTGCTCCATGTTGTTTATGTTTAACTGTGTACGTTTAATAACCAGGTGCTCTGTTACCATGGAGACCACTGTTACTGTGCAGAACTACACTGACGTTTCCATGGCAAACAACACAGAGGTCCACATGTCAGACCAAACCTCTTCTCCTATTGAAGAGCTAACAAAGCCAGCTGCCCGCCAACCCCGCAACCGAGCCAGTGCCACCGGGAGGCGGAGTCAGAGAGGGAAGAGGCGGGGCACCGTGAACAAGAAGCGGGGCCTGGTTGATAAGAGGCGTGGTCAAAAGGATAAGAGGCGTGGTCAGGAGGAGAAAGGGGGCGTGACAGTGAAGAGGACACTGAGTGGTGGGAAACGACGTTGGGATAAGAAACATTACTGTGTGTTCTGTCGACGGCCCCAGGTCAAGATTGCTCGTCACCTGCTAAGAAAACACGCCGATCAACAAGAAGTGATGGCCGCCAGCACTTTGCCGACGGGCTCCAAACAGCGGCACCTACTGCTGGAGCACCTGCGCTGTAGGGGCAACTACCTGCACAACATTGAGGTTTGTTTCCCTGGTTCCACGCGTGTCTTCCTGTTCATGTCTCCCCACCTTTATACTTGTCTGTCTCACTGACTGTTCTTGCTGTCTACCTGTCTGTCTCTCAGGTGATCAGACAGGGCAGGGGTGAGATTGTCCCGCGACGTCAACCCACAGAGGACGTTGATGCGAGGAACTACCTTCCCTGCCCGCTCTGCCTCGGTTTCTTTCTTCGCGCTGATCTCTGGAAACATCAGGTTTGCTGTCGTAAGAAGCTGGCCTCCGACTCCACCTCCACCATCTCTGACCCCGTGATGGACGCAGCCTCTGATTCCATGGCCTGTGATCAAGCAGAGGAGAGGACCTCAAAGTCCACAGAGGACACACCTTCTGATCCCTCAAGAAACGCAATCACAACAGACCAGACTGGTACCTCTGAGACTGGGACCAAACGGCCCATGCCCTCTGACCCCAGTGGTGATCAGAATGTGATCCCTGACCCTGGTGTGGACCGACCTAGGAAGCGCACCAGGGTCCAGGCTGCAGCGTCGCGCCTCCTCCCAATTTCCAGTGGAGCATCTGAGAGCTGCAGTGAAGTCCTTCACCGCATGAACCTGGACCATGTCTCATACCAGGTCTGTACACCTGTCAACCCACAGATATACCTATCTGTCTCTCTGCACTAATCCCACTCTTACTTGCTCTGTCCAGGTCAAATCTGATTGGTTGATCTGTAAATATGGAAACCAGTTGATGGGAAACCAAGATGGCAGCCAGAGGAGATATGACTACGTCAGTCAGAAACTGAGGGAGCTCGGCAGGTTCCTCCTGGCTGCTAAAGCTCTGGACTCTTCTGTTCAGACCCTCCAGGACGTCCTGACTCCTGGCCACCTCAACTTGGCACTGGCTGCTGCCAGAAAGGCGTCAGGATACCGGTGGACCCGTCCCCCACTGGCAGTGAAGACAACACTGAAGACAGTCTGTGAGATCGCTATTGGAGAGAGTCTGCAGGATGGAGACTGGGAGGCTGCAGCCAAAACTACCGACTTCTACCACATGTTGGGGAGGGACTGGGACAACCTGGGGCTGCTGCACCCTGACCCAGGTAAACACCCGAGTGCTTTTTGGTTAATAGTTACATAGTTGAACTTTGAAGAGGGTTCATGTCCTAATTAGAGTCCTTTGAGGTTTTAAAAGTTTGTCAGGTGGCTTCATCACTGATTTGTATGTTGAACATGATCAAACCACCAAACCTTTTTTCTGTAGCTGCTCCAGAAGGAGGAGCCAAGATGAAGAAACGATCTGTCCAATCAAGAAGTGAGAAGTGTAAGAGCAGAGATGAAGAGCAGTCTGACCCCAGACCAGATGGTGAGTCCTGACCCAGACCTCTGCTCCCACTTCCCCAAGCCTTATGTTGTAAATGATGATTTACCACACACCTTCACATTTGAGGCCCAGAACTGCCCTGACTGCTCATTGTATATCTGACCTTCAAGCCCTAAACATGACTGCTGATTATAGACCAGACTTTAAGCTGTTAATCTTTCCCCCCGATTCCTAAATCTAAGTAATAATAACAACCTCCATTGTGCACAGAATGTTTTCATTTTAGCGGCGCACTAGAACATGTGACCTCCCCGTCTGTCTCTCTAACAGTCCCATCTAAGAGCAGCAACAGACTGGTGACATCCATGATTCCACCAGAGTCCAGACTGCAGACTCCTGTCACAGGTGGGTCCTTGTGGATTCTGCTGACCATAAATCTGTTTTTATATAAACTCACAAGCCACTTTATTAGGTGCACTTGTACAGTTGTAATCTACTGCTGTGCAACAGTTCCACCTTAACATCTGTGTTTAAGAAGCTGAAAATGTTTGTTTTTGGTGTATTTGTCATAAATCTACATAAATGAAGGTTGGTGCACAGATGTCACAGTGCTACAGAGTACATGTACCGTAGACCTAGAGACTCTTGTTATCAACTGCAAACCCTTTTACTCTCCTCATGAATTCAACAGTTTCATGCTAATGGGAAAGTACATAACACCACAGGCTAACGCTAGCGTGCTACGGCTCCTAGCAGAACTGATAACTAGCCTGGAGCTAGAACATCCCGACTCTCCACTCTTTGTTCTAGGGGACTTGAACAGAGCAAATCTCACCCACAAACTGCCCAAATACAGGCAGCACGTCACCTGTCCCACCAGGGATAAAGTCACACTGGACCACTGCTACATAACAATAAAAGACGCCTATCACTCTGTCCCCCGCGCAGCCCTCGGACTCTCAGATCACTGTATGGTCCATCTTATTCCAACCTACAGGCAGAAACTTAAAGCTGCGAAACCTGTAGTCAAAACAGTGAAGAGCTGGACTGAAGAGGCTAAGTCAGAGCTACAGGCCTGCTTTGACTGCACAGACTGGAGTGTATTTGAGACTACAGCTACAGACCTGGACGAACTCACTAACACTGACATCTTATATCAGCTTCTGTGAGGATGTGTGTGTGCCCAAAAGACCTTCTGCACATACAACAACAACAACAAGCCCTGGTTTACAGCAAGACTCAAGCAGCTTCGTCGTGCCAAAGAGGAGGCTTACAGAA